AAGGAAATCAATGTTATACAACAGAAGAGCAAACCCAGGTTCCTTACACCTTGGTGACATACACTATTGTGTTACTGACTCAACCTTTCATGGAGTCTACCATCTCTGGACTTTGTATATTATGAGAAAATAAATTTTTATGTTTAAGCCAAAATCAATTTTCATTTTCTGTTACTTACAGCTGAAGGCATCCTGAGTCAATATATGCCTAAATATGATCTTTTACACAAACACCTCAAAATAAATGTGAAATAGAAGATCTGGAAAAACAAACAAATGACAATGCCAAGAGCAATGAAGCTCTATGAGGAACTTATCTGCAAAAGCAGAGATGACTCATCACAGTATTTATAATGGGCTCAAAAGTAGTAAGTAGTGGTTTAGAGCTCAGGCTCTGGGTTCAATCTTAAACTTTGCTAGATTTGTCTGTGTAACCTTGGTAAAGTAATATAACTTCTCTATGGTTTTATTTATCATGAGACTAATCCTACCTAATAAAAGAGTAATATGCAAATTAACCCTCACTCTGCTACACCCACAAGCCATGCTCACCAGCCAATCATAGTGAGTATGCAAATTAACCCCAACCACAGGGAGCATGACAGGGACTTGAGTTTCCCCCGCAATAGAGGAAGCCAAGCTTAAGCAGCCCTGGCCAGCCTAGGCCTCTACTCCAGGCTACAAAGTTTCAATTATAGAAGATAAACAAATCCAAACAAATATGGCTGCATCAGAGCGAGCAGGGGACTTGGCTCTACTCCGGGCTACAAACTTTTAATTGTAGAAGGTAAATAAATTCTAGCCAAAACCAGTTTGGCTCAGTGGATAGAGTGTCAGCCTGTGGACTAAAAGGTCCTGGGTTTGATTCCAGTCAAGGGCATGTACCTTGGTTGCGGGCACATCCCCAGTAGAGAGTGTGCAAGAGGCAGCTGATCGATGATTCTCAGTCATCAATATTTCTAACTCTATATCCCTCTCTCTTCCTCTCTGTAAAAAAATCAATTAAAAAATAAAATAAAATAAATTCTAGATACCAGGGCCTCTGCTTGGGTCACTGGGGGCGTGGCTGGCCAGCAAACCACCACAGGGCCTTTACCCAGGTCACCCCACACCCCAAGGGAACCCCTACCCTGAACCAGGACACCCTTCAAGGCAAACCAGCTGGCCCCCAACCGTGCACCAGGCCTCTATCTTACCTAATAAAAGAGTAATATGCAGATTGATCATCACTCCAACATATAAGATGGCTGCCCCCAAACGGTCAAAGATCCTGCCCCAATGTGAACACAAGATGGTCAGCAGGAGAGGACAGTTGGGAGGGACCAGGCCTGCAAGGGAAAGCAGTTGAGAGAGACCAGGTCTGCAAGAAAGGGAAGTTAGGGGTGATCAGGCTGGCAGAGGAGGGAAGTTGGGGGCAAGCAGTCTGGCAGGGGAGCAGTTAGACATCAATCAGGCTGGCATGGGAGTGATTAGAAGGGTGATAAGCTGGCAGGTAGAAGCAGTTAGGGGCCACCAGGAAGGTAGGCATGTGAGCAGTTGGGAGCCAGCAGTCCTGGATTGTCAGAGGAATGTCTGACTGCCCGTTTAGACCTGATCCCACCTAAACGGGCAGTTGAAAATTCCTCGAGGGGTCCCAGATTGGAGAGAGTGCAGCTGGGCTAAGGGAAAGCCCCCACCTCGTGCACAAATTTCATGCACCAGGCCTCTAGTGGGATCATAACATCTTCCTCTTAGGGATGTTTAAAGATGATAGTAGATAATACATGTGGAAGGCTTAGCAATTTCTGATGCAGAACAAATGCTCATAAAAGTTATTTGTTAATTTTATTATTTATCCTTAGTTTTTTATATTTTATAAACTATTCTCTTAAGTATTATATTTGATCCTCATAAAAACATAGTGATTTATATAATATATTTCCATATTAAAGTGAAGAAATAGACTCAGAGAGGTTCTTTGTAAATTGTCAAGATTTGAACCTGGTACTCTTATCTATAATAATTAAAGTGTAATATGTTAATTAGACCGGATGTCTTTCTGGATGAAGCTGGGGCTGCAAGGAAAGCCTGGGTCCTGGGTGCCTGCCTGTGGCCGGAGGGAAGTCCGGGTCCTGGGTTCCAGAGAGAGGCCAGTGCTGGCAGTCCGGGGAAGGAAGGCTTACTCTGCATAACTTTATGTATCAGACTTCTAGTTTTCAAATAAAGAACCAGAGAATCTTAGGTATAAAATAAAACCACAACTACAAATCTAGAAAGTTAGAAATTTAGGAGGAAAATTGTTTTAGAATGTGGAAAATTGCTAATGGTCTTAAAAACAATGCTAGGTAAGAAAAAGCACTATGTCAATAGAGAGTTAGACAGTAAAAGTTTACTCACAATAACAGGAATTTAGGGTCTAACTCACCAAGTGAAGTGATGGCTTAACAAGTCAATAGATGAATTCTGAGTAATTCAAACTAAATCTACATTTTAACACATTAAGCAAGTGCCATGTCAGTCACCAGTGATTAACACTATACTTTCCATCTGGACCAATCAGTCACTGGTGCTGCCAATATATTGGTGAAATAAAAGACAAAACAGGCTTGGCACTTAACATGTTAAATGTAATAACATGGAATTGGAGAATGAAAGTAACATATATTCTATTATAAATTCACGAAATCTTTTCACTAAAGAATCACAAAAATTTCAGCTTTCTATTACATAGTAGTATTAAGTATAGACTATGTCATGGAAAGATCCAGATATAATGAATGGTCAGATAAAACTAACAAGAATATTCTTAACAGATCAGCTTCACTTTCAAGCATGAGAAGAATTTGCAGTAATGACCCATGAGCAAGAAAAATAAAATTTTGAGAAAAAATTCTCACCACCCCACATGGAATGAGACCTGATTGTAGTTTTATTACTTTGTGTTTTCATGAACAGAATATGTTTTCATGATTTGAGTAATGGAAAGAAGAAAGGCGGAGAAAGCTACCCCCAGTAAAAAGGGTTTATATAGTTCTTTTGAGAATGTGTATATTATACACAATTATTTTATTAAAATTTTAGCATATTTTTGGTATGTTAAATACTATGACCTTTTTTTCGGTTGCTTGTGTTCTGTTGTTTTCTTGTTGTTTTTTCAGTCTGATATAGTTTTTGCACTTAAACACTTTATCATACTCCACAAATTTGTTTTGGTAAAATTTCTAAAAGGTAAATTTATCTAAGGCTCCTCTCTTGCAAAGACTTATTTTGCCACCTTTCTTTGTTTTCTAAATGTAGCAAGAAAAGTAGTCACTTTTTCTTTTTATTGGAAAGCCAAATTGAAGAGAAGGAAATCAGATTTGTTTTGCCCATAAAGCCCATCCTATATAATAAAATCCTAATATGCAAATCCACCAAACAGAGGAACAACCGGTTGCTATGATGCACACTGTCCACCAGGGGGCAGAGATTCATCACAGAAACTTCCCCCTAGTGGTCAGTGCGCTCCCACAGGGGGAGTACTGCTCGGCCAGCAGCCGGACATGCTGCTCCTTAGCACTCCCGAGAGGTGGGAAAAGCTCCCACCACCATTGCTGTGTTTACTAGCCATGAGCCTGACTTCTCATTGCAAGCGGATGGTAAGGAGCAAAGGGTCCTGGACTGCAAGAGAGCCTCAGCCGACAGTCAGACATCCCCCGAGTGGTCTCAGACTGTGAGAGGGTGCAGGTCAGGCTGAGGGATGCCCCCCACCAGTGTACAAAATTGCATGCACTGGGCCCCTAGTGTGGAAATAAAATAGGTAATAGTGGTACATCAATTGACTATTCTATAATAGATAGCCATCCCAGATAACAGTTTTACAAAAGAAGTTGGAAATCATACACAAACAGAGGAAAAGCTCCATTTTTATGCTCTCACTCCCAAATATGTACTATCTCTAAAAACATTATTTATACATATCCTCATATTAGGCATATTAGTCAATTAAGAGAGAAAAACTACTAAATGCTTTATTTAATACAAACCTGATTTTACCTTATTTTTCAGTTGAAATAGTTTGTCTCCATTACACTTTAAGCCATGCACAGAACACATATATTTGTGACAATCAGTATAATAAGTAGCCCTGGCTGCATGGCTCAGTTGGTTGGAGTGTCATCCCATGCACCAAAAAGGTTGCAGTTTGGGTGCATACAAGAGGCAACCAATCACTGTTTCTCCCTCACATCAATGTTTCTCTCTTCCTTTCTCTTTCTCTCCCCGACTTGATCTCTCTCTCTCTCTCTAAAATCAATAAACATATTATCAGACTAAAAAAATGGAATATTACTCAGTCATAAAAATGAATGTGTCTTGCCACATGTAACAAGTGGTACCTAGAAGGTACTATGCTAAGTGAAAAAGCCAGACAGAGAAAGACAAATAACATGATTTCACCTATGTGTGGAATCTAAAAGCAAAATAAATAAAACAGAAATGGACACACTGATACAGAGAACAAACTGATGGTTGCCAGGAGGAAGAAGAGTGGGGACATGGGCAGAAAACGTGAAGTGATTAAAAGATACAAAGTTCCGCTGATAAAATAAATAAATAATAGGAGGTAATGTACAGCATAGGGAATACAGAGAACACTGTAACAACATTGTATGGTGACAGAAGGTTACTAGACTTGTCATTGTAATCACTTCATAAGTATATATAGATATCAAATCACTATGTTGTACACCTAAAACTAATATAATACTGTATGTCAACTATACTTCAATTTCTTAAAGTATTAGTGATTAAAAATATTAGTAATTAAAATATACTTTTCTTCTTCACAAAATGTAAATTCAAAAAATACTAAAGAAAGAACTCGTTTGTGCCAAAGGTTTTAAATAATGGGAACATTAATTGGCAGCAAAGTTGACTAGGCTTCAGAAATAACCTTATGTTTCAGGAGTTTGACTAAGTATATAAAACTGCTTACCAACTTGGGGGGGTGGAGTAGGAACTGAAGGGAAAGGTGTACTCACTTTTCAATCTCAATGCCAAGTGGATTAGCAGGACGTAGGGACAACGGAGGAATTCCTTTATTCCTGTCAGTACGCATATCATAATAATTCATTTCATCAACCCACACAGCAGACTGGTCCAAAATACCTAGCAAAAAAGAGGAGTATATCCTTAGTAAAATATAGACACCTCCAGGTACTTCCTAAGTTTTGCAAACTGCTTTAGTTTTTAAGGATCTAAGATAATTTTTAAGAGAATTGAGGACAAAGAGGCTCTAAATTTTTTTTAATGTCTGGTTATTTAATTAAAAACACTAAAGTCCATTAAATAAAATAAAACACTGAAACCTATTTTTAAATGACAAAAAAATACCTCTTAGCAAATGGTTTTATTGTACATTAGTCAATAGAGAAGACAAATTAAGCCTCTGATAAAAAGTTACAAAAAAAGTACAATTTGGTAAATTCTACAATATATACAACAATTCCTTATATAAATAAACCACTCAAAACACCTTCCAAGGAATGCATAGCTTGTGTAATGGAACTGACTCAGATTCATAAACAATGACTGGGCAGTACTTGTGAAAAAATAGGACCTCTGAAAATAGCATTATATCCTAATTTGGGTTGTCATTTATGTTGGCATATAACTTACCAGTTTACCACTTCAGGACCTGGGCTATAAGAGAAAATGGGCAAAGTACCAGTGAGTATAGAGGAAGGGCTAGGGGCTGGGAAGGCTTCAATAATGAATGATATTTGACTCCAGCCAACTTCTAGATGTATGGACCCTTTGTGATCAACTAATTCATCAGCACCCACATTTCTTCCACAATCCAATAGGAGACTCTGTGAGAGGTTATGCTCAAGTCCAAATTCTTCAAAAGTTCAGTTAGATAAGCCTTTATTGAGCCTACGCTATGGTAGGCTCTGACAGGAGAGAAATCTGAATAAAATTAGTACTCTCAATATGTTTTCTTTGCTGTATAAACATCACATAAAATGATGCTGTCAAAATGTTTTAAGTTCCTCATTTAACTTCACAGTTCTATTTTTAAAGATGTAATAGAAAAATGAGCAAATAAAAACTGATATTATACATGTACAAATATTTGTATACATGTACATATATAAATTCCATTTTCAACCCTTAAATTTCTTAAATTTCTATTTATAAAAAGTATCTAGGAATTTAAGGAAGATATTGCTGCAGAAAAACTCTATACCCTAAGATACAAAACAAAAACAATTTACAAAATTATTTACTACTAGAGGGCTGGTACACAAAATTTGTGCATGGGGGCGGGAGAGGGGTGTCCCTCAGCCCAGACTGCACCCTCTCCAATCTGGGTCCCCATGAGGGATGTCCAACTTCCAGTTTAGGCTCAATCCCGGTGGGATTTGACATCCCTCTCACAATCCAGGACTGCTGGCTCCCAACCACTCACCTGTCTGCCTGCCTGATTGGCTCTAACCACTTCTGCCTGCTAGCTTGATCACCCCTAACCACTCCCCTGCCAGCCTGATCAATGCTTAAATGCTCTCCTATTGGCCCAATTTCCCCTAACTGCCCTTCCCTGCTGGCCTGTTCACTCCTAACTGCACCCCTCATGCCCCCCGCCAGTCTAGTCGCCCCCAACTGCCCTTCCCTGTTGACCCGATCACCCATAACTACCCTTCAACTGCCTGCCTGGTCATCCCTAAATGTCCTCCTGTGCAGGCCTGGTCATCCTCAACTGCCCTCCCCTGCATGCCTGATCAACCTAACTGCCCTCCCCTGCTGGACTGGTTGCCCCCAACTGCCCTCCCTTGCAGGCTGCCCCCCCCAAACTATCCTCCTCTGCAGGCCTAGTCCCCCACAAATGCCCTCCCCTGCCAGCCTAATCACCCCCAACTTCCCTCCTTTTCTGGCCTCGTCACCCCTAACTGCCTTCCCCTGCTGGCCTGATCACCCACAAGTGCCCTCCCCTGCAGGCCATCTTGTGGCGACCATCTTGTAGATCATTGACCACATGGGGTCGGCCACCTTGTGTGTTGGTGTGATGGTCAATTTGCAAATTACTTTTTTATTAGATACCATTCTATACCAAAAGTACAGCCTGGGTTTAATTTACTTGCACCTCTGATATTCCTAAAGGATACAAATATGAATATGAATTTGTGCACTGTTGGGGTCCCTCAGCCAGGCCTGTAGGGATCTGCCAAAAACCAGCAGTCCTACATCCCTTGAGGAATGTAGTAGTGCATGAGGCGGCAGGCAGCCAGGGAGGAGCCCGAGTCAGGCCAGGTGCAGCACCACTCTTGCTCATCCCAGCCCTGCTGTGCCTGCCAACTTATTGCTCTGTAAGATCGCTGAGGCTCCACTATGGTTTCTGCATTCCCATACTAGGGTGACACTGGCATGCCTGTGACCAAGAGGCGGCCACAGGCTTGTGCTCAGTCAGTCTCAATCCTGTTACAGATGGGGGAGGGGCCTGCAGGAGGAGTGTCAGCAGGAGAGCAAGGCAGTGGTGCTCACCAGCCATGAACCTGGGGTCTGGTGCCCCATGACCTGCAAAGCAGAGCTCCTGCTGTGGGAGCGCACTGACCATCTATACTAACAAAGGCCTAATATGCTAATGGTCCATATGCTGTAATGGGTAATGACCAGGTCACTAGCATATTAGCTGGGGCATTGCTCTGGAGTCAAGGTGGAAGCAGGGAGGCGCCCGGAGGAGGTGGGACCATTCCATGCGGGGAGGGCAGGAGTAAGAGCCTATAGCACCCCCCTTCACCAGTCCTTTGCCACCCACCACTCTTACTCTAAGTGACCTGCAGCCCACCTGCCAGGGGAAGGAGCACAGTGCAGCAAGCAAAACCAGCCCGAGGCCACTTGAGGGACTGAGGTTAGTGCCTAAAGTGTCCAGAGAAGGCCAGAGGGGACTGGGCCAGGTGCACTGGAGCTCTGCGTGGACAGGTTCAGGTGTCAAGGCAGGGTTGCAGGTGGGTGGGCAGCACTGAGCAATTTCGAATCGTGTGCTGGGCTCCTATTATAGATATAAAAGGCTAATATAAAAAGTGTTCCCCCAGGAGTTTGACCAGGAGACCAGAAGTTCAATTGCTCACTATGACTTACTCTGACTAACAGGGGGCAGCGCAAAACAAAGGAAGGCCCTGGCTGGCAGCCAGGAAAGGAAGGCCCCAGATAGCAGCCAGAAGGAAGGCCCTAGACAGCAGCTGGACGGCCCCAATTAGCCCTGATCATTGCCTAGGCATAGGAACCCTATCCATGTATGAATTTCATGCACAGGGCCTGTAGTTTATACAGATTAATTAAGTATTGACCAAGACAAGATATTATAGGACTAAAATTTGAATAAGACATTATTATTTTGAGAGGGTATGGCCATGCTCTGCAATAGCTATGAGAAAAATAAAGTTTTGGTTAGCAACATGGCAGTCAATACATGACCTTCAGGTCTCTATCCTTAAAATTACAAGTTGCATAACTATAATTCAACAAAAGATTGATTCTCTGGTAACACAGAAACACATTGTACATTGAGACATCTAAAGGAGTGTATATCTCAGTTAACAATAGAGACAGGAGAGGGAGGGTACAAGACAGATGAAAGTTCTGGGCACTAGTTGTGGAGGTTTCTTAACAGTTGAAGGGGTGAAGGGCAATCACCACTGGACAAAAAAGAAAGGCAGACACAGCAATGGGGCCTCAGTGGTTGATAGACATTGAGGCTGGGCCCCGAGTCAGGGGCAGAGAAACTGTGCAAAAAGTCAAAGAACTCCACAGCCAGCCAGCACCAAAAGATTTCTCATATGTGGGATCCTGCCCACACCTATGGCCTGACAGGCAGAAAATCCTCACTTGGAAAATGTTTCAAGGACTGAAAAAACTTCCGGCATAAGTCAACTATACTCACTGAAGCTAAATACACAAGGAAGAGTAGAAGTTTGGACTAATGAAACCACTTCCCCACCAAACCCTCTTCCACGCATCTCTACAAAACTAGGTAGAGGCAGCTGAATCCACTCAGAACAGCTTGACTGGCAGCTTCTGGCTACCTGAATGCAGCATGAGAAATTCAGAAGATCCACAGCCCACCACTCTGAATCCATGGGAGTGGTGCCCCAAGACTCAGGTTGGGCAAGGGTACCCACCTCCTCAGGAAATACTAGGAATATTCCACATATTATATTCCACAATGCCCAGGCTACACTGCTGCACAAAAATCCTAGAAGCCCCAGCAGTTAAGAGAAAATAAAAATTTGTATTTTACCACCACCTACTGTAAAATAAAAGAAAAAAAATCTACTTATCAACACTGAACACTGAAATGTCAAATATATTTTTAAAAAGTTTTCATTCCCACAAATTCACAGGTAGAGAAATAATCCACCAAGTACAATGAACAACCAAGGTAACAAGGAAGGTCAGAAAGAAAACTTTAAAAATTTTCCAGAAAATAAACAAGACACAAAACACTGTGATTTAAATAATAGAGAATTCAAGGTTGCAGTTCTAAAAAAAAAACCTCAAGGATAAGAACACTTAGAAAACTAATTCAGTGATCTCAGAAATAAAATCTAAGAACAAAAGGAATACTTCACCAAAAAGACTGACACTAAAAGAACTGCTCACTGAACTACTAGGGACTTCAAACTTCAAACCTCAATCAGGTTGCCCATGTTTAGAAAGAGACAATGACCTATACAACAGGGTCCAGGATAGACACACCAAGGGACCAGATTCAACATCATAGCAGTGTGTGAATATGTGTGGTTTTGTTTTATTAGTTTGTAAGTAGACTTTTTATTTTTGTTTTTTCCTTTTTTAAATTTTTTTTCTTGCATATCTCTAATTTCTCTCTTCCCCTTTGATTCTATTATACTATTATCTATTCTTATTAATTTTACTTATTTCATTTTATCTCTTTTCTCATTTTTCCCAATTTTTTTGGATCTATATCTTATATTCATTATCACTACATTTTAAATTCATTATTATTATTTTACTTATTTTCTGTTTTCTCATATAACTACTTTTTTTATTTTATTTTTTTATATTTTTTAATTGTTTTTACACAGAGAGGAATTGAGAGGGATAGAGAGCTAGAAACGTTAATGAGAGAGAAACATCAACCAGCTGCC